ACCTGAACTATAAATACTAGTGGGATATTTGATGATATTAACGAATTAACAGAAATTTCACATTTTTGTTTTTGTTTATTAATTTGAGTACTCACATGCACAGGTAGATATTATAACTGAATTGAAAATGTGCTTTATTTAGTAATTTAACAAATATTATGTATTTATATTATACATATTAAATATTTTAATACCTAGTATAAATATATTGTGAAACCTATATTACTTTTTTCTTTTTCAATTAATTTAAAAGAAAATTACATATTTTATCAAGTTTGTAAGGTTTATTATGAACAAATATGACGAACTTTTTTTGTTGTTATTTTCTAAATTAAATTTTGTTTTTAATTTTTTTAATATTTGAAAAAGTAATACAAAAAAATAAAACAAAAATTCAATTAACGCTTATTAATTCTTCAACAGTTTGTTTTTTGTAAATTTTATTGGTGTAAAAAGGGGTTAATTGCATATTTTTCTAAATTCAACTTTTGCCATAATATTCAGAAAAATTTGAAATACCCTATTTGAAAGTACTTTAAGAACAATATAAGATCTAAAAAATAAAAATTCTATGTTTCAAATAGGTAAAAAGTTGCAACGTTATTAAAATCGGAACATAAAAATGCGTTTTTCTCGAAATATTGAAAATGTTACTTAACTCCTTCTACTTCTAACCTATTCAAATAAGATTTGACTTGAACTGAATTTTAAAACAATAACAATAGAAATTTCCGTTTTATAAAATAAAATATAATTGCGTTCGCATTGAATTTGTAATAATTTTTAATTCTATCACAAACCTAACCACATAATTTAAGATAATATTAATAATAAAATATTTAATAAAAAGAAATTTTTCATATTAGAAAATAATAAAATTTTTGATTGTTGAATTCGGTAATACAAAATTAGAAATATAAAATATTAAAGGATATTGTACGAGACTTGTGTTCCATATTGCAATAATACTCTTTCTTAATTAAATTCAGCTTACAAATGAATTGCTAATATTAGCTTAATTATAAATTTCAAAATCTAATAAATAAAGCATTACTGCATTATGGAACTCTAAGATTATTATTCAAAACTACTTGAATTGTTTTGTTTTAACTGTAAATTGAATAAAAGCTCATTAAATATTGACATGATTGACTGGGCATAATGCAAAATTAGAAATTCATTTCAAGTATAATTTAAATATCTTGGGAAGGAATTTCTAATTTTGTTGACCGAATTTTTATTTTCAATAAATTATATACAAAAAACAAAAATGCACATAAATAAATTTGTTTTAGTTTGTTTTTGAGTTAAAATTCAAAATTTTTTGAGTTGCTATTTTTTTTTTTTTTTGAGCACCTCTTATTAAATATACCAAAATGTATAAATTTTACATGTATGAATTTGTTAAATGAAATTGTGTTATACAAATTTTTTTAAGAATCTAGTTTTAATACTTTCAAGTCAACAACAAAAATGACAATTTCGGCCCCAAAACATAATAAAGTTAAGCTTATGAAAACAAAAAATAGAGTAAATGAAATCAGCGGCCAAAAGCATCTGATTACTAACAGTTATATTAAAACCGGTAAATTGCTTTTAAACAAAATACTGGAATTAAATTTCTAAATTCAAAATACAAAACAAAACTCAAGATACTCAAAAGTTTTACTTAATTATAGACTTTTAATATTTGAAAATTAATTATTTTGAATTTATAACACTAATATATATACACAATTTTTAGATTTTTCAACCAGAAGCATGTATTAATAATTAAAGGGGCTAAGTGGACAAAGTGATTAACTAAAATTTTGACGAAAATCGAGCTGTTCGGCTAGAACATCATTAAATTTCATATATTTTCAATTATGATTACTATTATAGCTTAGAAACTTAATAGAAGGCGAGATTGACAATGCACATAGGAATTAAGTAACAAAAAAAAAAATCAATAATTATACAATTTGTTAATGAAAAAATGTGTCAAAATTCAAATTTAAGTTAACCCCTTTGTCCATTTACCGCTTCTGTTAATTCATAATATTTTATTTAAAACCATCAATTAAAGTCATGCTAAAATTGTGTTACAATCAGCGATTAAGAGGAATTTATTTAACACGTTCGCTACCAACGTCGCATATATGCGACGAATCGTTTCTTGCTTTTGAAACCGGTGTCGCAAATATGTGGCGTGACTATCTTATCAATTTTTGCTACGGTATTGCACTATTTTTGTGGCAAAAACAGGTTTAATAGGTTATAGAACAATGAAATAACTGCAAATTGTTCTTGGTCTAAAGATAATAACATTTTTTAATCTAATGCTATAAATACAATATTAAAAAATCCAATGCCATTTAAAGTCATTTCATAAGAAAAATTTCCATGGTCTGTGGTATAAGCTTTTCTTCTTAAGCTCCGGTAGCGAACGTGTTGACTGAACTATTCCTAGACTGCATAATTTAATTGCAATCTTATTATATACTGTTGACTAATAAGTTTCAAGGCAATTTATTTGAAAAAGAGTAAAAATATTGTTTACTACAAGATTATTCTTGTTCTTTAACATAGAAAATAATATTCACAGTTCAATTAGGACTTGGTTTTTCAAGAGTGTTTTTGGAAAAGAGCTGAAATCGAGATTGAAAATTTTAAAACTAGATTCTTAATATTTTAATTTAATTTTTTTTTTTTCTTTTTTTAATTAAAATATTGAAAGAGTAACTATCTATTACTATTAATTTTATATTTTTTTTTTTTTTACAAATATATCTCTATATTAAACTCATACTATATATAATAGGATATTTACCAAAATGCAAATCTAATGTCAGCTTGACTTATAGTTGACACAATTGTAATTGTTGAATAATTCAAATTTATGACATTTAATTTAGATTTTGGTAGGCGTCCTTAATTTTGTTTTGTTAAAAATTTAAATTTTTTACACATTTAACATTTTTAAATTTATTTTTTTTTTTATAATTTTCAATTAAAAGTTTATTTTTAATATTAAAATTTTTTTTTTTTTAACATGTATATTATAATTATTTATATACATAAATATGTAATATAATAATTATATTTTAATTTTTTTAATTTTTTCAATTTTTCTTATTAAATCACAAAAAAACCGATAACTTATCACTAAAAATATAAGTATTTCATTGTTTTTTTACAATAAATACATTAAATGTATTGCAGTATATAATAATTTTTTTTTATAATTATATAATATAATTTGTTTTTTAATTTTATTTAATAAAATTATGATATGAAATAAAGGATGATTTTTTTTGTTATTTTTACATTATAATTAAATTTATTTTTTAAATTTTATATATATAAATTTTATGTTTGTTCATAATTGTAGTTTTAAGTATATATATATATATATATATATATATATATATATATATATATAATTAATTAATATGCATATTTACAGGAATTTTTTTTGTTTTATAATATTTATTTTAAAATAGGAAAATAAAAACAAATTTACAACAAATATTTTTTTTATAATTAAAAAATTTAATTATGACATAATAATGATAATAATAATAATAATATTTTGTATAAAATTGGGTAGTAATTATTTTAAAAAATAAATAAAATTATTTAAATATAATGAAGATTTATTAAAAATTTCTAAAAAAATTCTAAATTACATTGCAAATTTTTAGTTAAAAAGAATTTCAATTAAATTGTGAATGACATTGTTGTTCTGTTGTTGTTGTTGTTTACTTATATAAAAATATAAAAATAAAAATTTTTTGACATTTAAATATTTTATTAGTTATTTTCCGACTGTTAAAAAATTTATTGTAAAATTTACTTAATTATAATAAAATTTAATATTTAATATTTTAATTCCATTGCTCATAACATTTCTGTAAATGAAAGTACAATATAAAAGTACAATTATAATGAATTTGATTTGACATTTTATTTGACATATTAGTTTAATTTTGTATTTCACATTTTGGAACATAAGAAAATTTTTTAAGCTGTAAATAAACCGTGACTTCAATAATACTTTGGTATTAATACGATTGTACTACCGTCTCAGAGCTTTGAATACACTGCTAATTGCTTTTGATACATTTTGGAATACAATTTTTATAATATTATGTACTTACTTAATTGAAAATTTTAATTAAAAGCTCTTTGCAAATGTTAATTTTTAACACAAGTTATCATATCATTAAAAACATAGCATTTTTATGCTGCATTTTAGGAAAAAAAAAAACTTAATAACCTAGCATTTTATTGCTGAAAATAAATGTGCTAGTTTATTTAATTGATTATTTCTGGCAACATTTACAAGACATTTAGACGATTTTTTCAATAACCGATTTACTTTTATTTTATGTATCCATTAGTTATAGAAAACGCATTTAAGAAAAGTGTACAATGTCAAAAGGTATTGCTAAAAATTTTTTGAAATGTGATACTTTGTAAAGTTTACGCAGTAAGCTCATTATTGAAGTCACGGAAAATATGCTTTCATAAATTGACAAAAATTTGAAGGTTATCTAAAATGTTAAGTTTTAAATTTGATTTTAACTTAAGAATTTTTAAATAACATTAAAAATTTAAAAGTGACATCTGGGGACAATAAATGAAATCATTATTACAAAAATTCATTTAAAATTCTTTGATTCTGAAATTATTTTAATATTTTACACATTTTAATAAAAATTATCGTGTTATTTGTAGAAAACAAAAATTCTAGAATCGTCTTATCTAAAATACTAGAATATTTTTTTCGTGCAAATGGAACACAAGTTTATATTATGATTGTATAATAACGTTTATAATGTTTACATAAAAATATTTTATAAATTTTTAATATTGATAATTAATTAATTATAAGGCAAAATATTTTCATTCTTAAAACTTATTTTGAAACTTGAAAGATACAAAGAATAGTTTACTCTCTTCCGACTCATTTTTATGAGTGTATTATTAAAATTTGACAAATATGTCAATAAGGATCTTCATGTTTAATAGATTTTTGAATAATATGTGACATAACTTCAAATTAAAATTTTCATTAGAAATAAAATAAATAAATAGGACAAATATTTAAAATGTGAACAAATTTACAAAAAAAAAAGAATTACCACGATTATTAAAAGAAATTGTTAAAAAAATTTTTAAGAGTCACAAAAATTGATTCATACCGTTATTATTTAAATCATTATTATTTGTTACATCAATATCATTTGAATCTATTAATTCATTTAAATTATCATCACTACCATCATCATTATAATATAAATTATTATTATTATCATTATTAATATTATTCATATCTATTAAATGTTCTAAAAGACCTCCACTTATTCTATTTAACCAATATAATAATAAAAATCACCGACGGCGTCTACGTCTATGATCATCACTATATGAATTTAATAAATTATTATTATTATTATTATTATTATAATTAATATTATTTGCTGATGATGATTTTTTAAAGAAACCTAATGTTTCTAATGTTTTAATTGTTCTATTTATTAATTCATCTTTATATTTCCATATTGTTTTATCTTCAACAGAATGTTCACGAAAATCTTCACATGATTTTTTTAATGTTTTAACACAATCAGCTCTATAATGTTGTAAATGTGCATCATCAGTATCAGTTGAATATGATTTACAAACGCCACCTAAACATGCTAATGGAAAATGATTATGTAATGTTAATACACGTTCTGGATCATGAAAACATTTAATATATTGATGTGGTTTTGTATAATTTTGTGCTCTATGTACATGTTGTAACATATGCATATATTGTGGTATATCTTTATGCCAACCATGTTCATGTTGATGATCATCCAAAAAATAAACATTACGAAAATTATAACTTTGATAGCCACCAGTTGGTATACCAGTACTATTATTATTATTATTTGAATTTGCTTTTGGTATAATACGTTTCATTAAATCGGACCATGTCATATCATTTATATGTTTTGGCATTATTACTTCATCGATATCTAATAATGCAATATAATTATATAAATATAAATTTTTATATAAACAATCATTATATGGTATAACTTCATTTTGTCTTTTATGATTTGTTTTTTTTGTTAAATATAAATGTTGAAAACCGGCTACATTTGGTTGACCACCTGGTAATGTTAATGGTGTTACACGTACTTTACCCATTTGTTCATAATGTTTTAATACTTTTGTTATATTTGGATGTACTTGTAATTCATAAAAATATATTTTATCAGCACCTAATATATTTAATAATTCAATCCATTCAATTAAACGTACTGATAAATCATCATATAAAAAATCTAAACCTTTAACACATACAGCAAAACCTTTTTTTTTATCATCTTCTGGCCGATTATAAATAACACGTAGATTATTTGTTGCTGTATCACATTCTTTTTCAACCATTGATACAGATGATGGTACAATACCATGAAATGGTTTTGGTATTTGACATGCAATTAAATATGGTTGATAAATACCTTGTTTATAATTACCCCATTTATTATACCAAATATATTTATATTCAAATGTTTTAACAATATATGGTTCTTTTTGTCCATCAAACCAAAATTGACAATATGTTTTAACATTTGGTTCGATACGATCAATCATACCTAATATACGTACTGTTGGTCCTAATAAACTTTTTTTACGTATATCATAATATGCACCAAATAATTGAAATGTACCATTTGTTGTATGCATTGTTTGCCAATAAATATTATTAAATTCTAATTCAAATATTGATGGATATTTGGCACATGTTGATGATTTTTGTTGTATAAAATTTTTATTTTTATTCCAATATGCAATTGGTAATGATGGTAATCTTGATTCAACATCATGTACCAATTGATCATCATCCATATTTGAACGATTATCAATTAAGATTTCAGATGGATCAAAACGATCAGTTGTTGTTGATGTTGGATCACCATTTGGATAAAATTTAACATTTTTTTGTAATAATATTCTACCATTTATTGGTGATTGTATATAATCTTGTGATACAATACCAGTGCCATGAAATTTTAATATACCTATTAATACAATTGACCAGATTGATAGCGAGAATAAAATTTTAATAATTATCTTTGAATTTGGCATTTTTGCTATTTTTTTTAAATAATTTTAAATGGTTTTTTGTTGTGTGTTTTTTCTTTGTAACTATACTAAAAGTTTCATATGTAGTTGAATTCGATTTTAATGAATTATTCGTTTAGGATAATGAATTATTCGTGTATTTTTGTTGTTTTGTATACAAAATCTGTTTTGCTATTGTATATTCTTGATTGTTATACGGCGGCAGTACTGTTATTTGACTTAGTTAAAATGCATCTAGTTGACATAATCTGTAAATAAAATAAAAATAAGAAATAATTACTTAAATGAGAAATTTGAAAATCAGGATCTTATTAACATTGTTTAATTAAAAGCTTATTCTTGTTCTTTTTAATATAAGTTGAAATCAGCTTGTAAAAATTACAAACTGTTTGAGATTGTTTGATCAGATGCAGTTGCATTGGAACATATATATATGTGTTTTAATATTAACTGCAATTAAACACAATTAAGCAATCAAACAATTTGAGAATTGAAAATTGCATACCTGTCGGGGCTTTCAACTAATTTTTTTTCAATTAAATTATAATTTTAATTCAATTATAATCTAAGTTTCCATAGACTAATATGCAATAGATTTTGGTACTCAAAATTTGATACCTGGAAATTAAACTGTTGGTCTTGCCAAATTAATTATGTATTTAAGAGAGAAAAAATCAGTAGTTTCAGATTCTAGTATTTCTGTTTAGTAATTGATTTTGTATCCAGAAGTCGACAATGTTTTTTAAAGAATTTTGACTTGTGGTAAGAGCATTTTCGAAAATCAAACCATAAATTAATTCTAAGAAATCTTTTCTCATACTCATCAATAAGAATGTAATTTAATTCATCATTACACCGAATTTACTCTTCTGATAGCATATATTTCTCATAACCAAAGATAAAAATGTCATAAATTTGAATAATGTTTAAAAAACAAAAATATTTTTTGTTTCTCTCAATTTATTATTGGTTCCCATCACGTTTTATATGATTCTCACCAATTAATAAATGTTATTATACTTCATCTGATTAGAGATTTCAAAATAGAATTGAATTTTCAATATTTTAAATAAAAAATTCTTTGAGAATAAAAATTGAAGTTTATGTAAATATGATTGTAATGATTTCTATCTATAAATATTGAATATTAATGTATAAGCAGGTATTGGTTTCCTTCAAAAAAAAAATGTTGTAATAAATTCTTGTAGACTTTAGATGGGAAAAAAATTTATTTATGGAAGTGAAAGATTTAATATTCAAAAAAATTTTATGATTTCAAATAGCTATTTATCGGCTTATGATTGTCCATAAATCGATTTTTCAAAAAATTTTGGTAATAACTTCGGCAATTTACAAGTCGTCGGCTAAGAAGTAGAAAGCATTAAGACAGGAAATCGTGTTTTAAGTAAATTCAATTTGAAAAAATCGTAAAATTGTAAAACTAAGCAATTAGTGCAATGGGATCGATCTCTTTAATTTCTAAACTATATTCTGAATTTGCATGGTTTTTGCCACAATAAAGAATATATTTTTCTGATTTAATTCATCTGGATAATTCGAATTCTCAAAAAATGCACTTAGTGCTTTCTGCCTTTTAACCGACGAAGTTTTTTTTCACTGACGCATCAATTTTTTTGTATGATTTAATATAGTAAAGCAGCTTAAAACATGGTCTAATAATTAACTATCTGCGCTGAATAATTAAAAATTTTTAATGAATATGATGACATCATCGGGGAGAATGTTTATGCACTGATGTAAACAAACTTTTTTCTCTCTAAATAAATATCTCTCCGATGACGTTTTTCGAACATTTTAAAATGTCAATACCGTTCAGTAAATTTTGCGGAGATTATTGGATCATGATGCTGTCAGCAATCTGTCAGAAATTTTCAAAAATTTTATTATTGTTAATGCAAATACGAGTACAATATTCATTATGTCGCATTTATTTATTATAACAATTAATAATAATCAATTAAAATCTTACAGCGTGCAGAATATTTTTATTTAAAATTTTTAATAATATATAGAGTGCTACCGAAATTAATTCAATTATATTTTAAATAATTAACCTGTATATTTTTATTATTTTCTGGGGACTATTTAATGACTCTTTTAAATATAAATTTTCCTTTAAAATCTATTTATAGTTAGAAAGGTAAATGTTCATTTCTAGCTGAATAACAAAGTTCATTATTCCATAAAAGTAATTCAAAATTACGAGTATGTGATGTACGAGCAATTTACGATAGTCTTGTAAATGGGAATTTGACATTTCTTCTATAAAATAATTGAATGTTGTACACATGACGCTTCGATGCTTTCGAGGTCTGCTTTTCTGATTCTATTAGAGAATTCGTTTACAAAAATACGAAATCTCAATTAAATTAAAGTTAATTGTTTCGAAATTCTTTCCCAAAATTTTTTTAAATTATTTTCAATTTTATATTTACTATTGAACAATAACCTAGTGTCTGTCTTCTTCTAAATTTTAGAATAGCCAATTCTCGTTGATTTTTATTTTGTTTTTTTTTTTCTATATAAACATTAGGTAATAAAAATTTTAAGAATTTCTTAATAAAAAAAAAAAGTTTTTTACAGTCCTCTCTTTATCAATGTGTGTTTGGTGTCAATGTATGAGACAACAATAAAACTGAATTTTTTTTTTTGGTTTTAGCGCCTATAATAAATGTTTTAGGAATAAAGAACCCAATAATGAATTTAAAATGTTGTAAAAGTTCATCTCCATGATGATGATGATGATGATTTTCTATAAAAGTATACGATTACATTTATTACACACAAACGAGAAAGCAATAAAAAAGAAAATTGAGATTTTAAAAATAATGATTATAGAATTTTTTTAATTTCATAAGCCAAAAAAAATCAATTAAAATATTAAAAGTTATAAAAATTGAAATTTTAATTGAGGAATTTTAAAGTGATATGTCTAGAAAATTTTAAAATATTAAATGTGAAATTTTGAAATGGAAAATTTCATAGAAATTTGATTTGTATCTCTAGTTTGGAGAGAGCATGGGGTGGCTACAATAAATTGCGAGTTGCTACAGTGATCCGGGAGATGTGTCCTCTTGCTCCATTCGGTTCCCTTGGAATCTACCAATTCTATTTTGTTTAAAGCTAAAATATTGTATTATCTCCAATATTATTATACACTGCTTTTAGCAAATAGTTCTAAACTACGTAAAGCGGTTACTTTGTTCAGCGTAACTTTAAAATTTGTGTTAACTTTTGATATAATTCCTTCCAAGTGGGTTAATTGAAATTTTGAAGCCTTCTTATTCCGAAATGTAATTGAAAAAACTTATGCCTTCTTGAAAAATTTAAAAGAAATTCTGAAAATAATAATTATAAAATAATTAAAAAATGGCTACTAGAAAGGTTTAATGCAAGCAAACAAATATCATTTTACCAGAAATGTCATTTCTTTCGTATTGTAATAAAAATAAACTCGATTGAAGCATCAAACGTCGGCTTACCATACTCTATTTCCGATTAAAGTTCCATTCGTGTTTGAAAAAATTATTGCATACTTTGAGGCGAAAAAGAAATTATATCATCATTTTCTTACTTTTGGGTGAGAGAAGAGAGAAGGTACGTAATTTTAGTTCTCGGTATCTCAAGTAAGAAGAATATTATTCGATTTATGTGCTTCGCTTGTTACTGACTTGTAAATTAATTAAAAGTATACAAAAGTAACAAAACTTAAAGAACTTCCGAAACTTGTTGTTTCTAAATCTGGGAATCAATATCTACAAATGTCAGTTTATTTAATAAATAAAGTTTCGTAATTTAATAAAATTAATAATAACTGTTTTCTGAACCTTAACTCGCTAGGGGTCCATCTCCCACTATCTTACAATTAAGATTTATCAGAATATCAGAAGAAAAATTTTTACCAATATCAAAATATTTTTTGTTTTATTGTTTTGCCTATAGAACAAAGTGTTAAGAGTTTAATGTTAATGATCACGATAATTGCACAATATTTGAATGTTTATTGCGGTATTCTATTGTATAAAATAAAAATTTTTCTAATTTGCTTAAATTTTTATTTATATACATGTGTATGTATTTATTATATATGTGTATATGTGAATGTTGTAGATATTTTTGTGGTAGATTTTATTTACTTCATAAATGAATATTGCTTACTTAAAAATTCACATTACATTGTTTGTATAACATACACATACAAACATAAACATCTATTGACTTTTATGTCAAGAGGTTCAAAATATTATACGCTATTCTTGAGAATTCTTTTATACTTACATATTATATAAAATGAAGAAAAACGGCTAGAAATTAAAGAAAAGAACAAAAAACAACGAACAAATTATTTATCGTGTTGCATGAAAAATGTGAAAAATGGGTTTTTTGTTTAAAAATTTTTCACACAGCCAATTCTAGTCACTCTTCTTCTTTTTTCTTTACTTAAATATGAAGGGAAATTAAAAATGGATTTTTAAATATAGAAAAAAACACGCAAAAAAAAAAATAGCAAAAGGAAAGAACAAACAAAATAAAAAAAAAAAAATAATCAGCATAAAAACATTCAATATGTCTATTCAAAGACATTACTTTACATACCTTTACAAAAAAAAAATGTTGAGCTGAGACCTTTTTGGTTCCATTATATACAATGAGTAAACGTTTACATTTACAGTAATGTACAAAATTTATTAGAATAAGTTTTTAAAATTGAGTCAAACATGGAGTAGATCTTGACAAGAGGAGCCAAAATGAAAAATTTCATGAAAATTAAATGAAACCCAGCAACTGGAGCCATGAAGTCAACATTATATAATTTCAAAATTAAATAATAAACAGCAGGCCGCTATGAAATGTTTCGGTTTAACAGCCGGCAAATTGTGAAAATAAATAAAAATTCAGGGAAAAACTGCAAAGCAAACAAGCAAAATAAAATAGGAGATACGCCTAGTTTGATCCAATATATTGGAAGCACTGAAACTAACATAATTTCAAACAGTTCAACAATACACAATGATGATTAATACCTACAAACCCTGTACATTATTATTGTTATAATTTGTATTAAGATCTGAAAATGCTTATGAGAATAAACCGTAATGAAATTGGTTCTCATAATGCTAAGATTTTCCAACTAAAATCGATTGTCAAAATATTAAGAAGAAAGAAGGAATAAAATGTACTGAAAAGTATCACATATTGTTTCCGTCAAAAACAAAGAAAATGTTTC